TCAGTGAAAGCGCTACTGGAGTAAGCTGCTGACTAAGGCTAGCTGTGAAGTTGGAGTGTGGGTTTTGAAGTAGTTGGTTACCACATACCTTAATATCATCGCAATTGTCGGATCCCAATCAGCGGTTCTCAACTGCAGCGTTTCCATCATTGGTTGTTTCCTTCCTAAATCGATCTCTACCCGATCGCCATTGGTAGAGCAAGGGAGCCGAACGCGCTCGAACCGCGCTGCTCACGCCGCCTCCGACAGTCCGCAATGATGAGGACTTTAACAGTGTGGTTGAGTGAGTACCCTCAGAAGGGAAATGATAATGAGTCAAAAGTGTTGCTGTGAAGTAGATATGGCTCAAGAAGAAGTAAAATCCGATTATTGAATTTTCAAAGATTCCCATAGAGGGAAAGACTGCCATTTCATATCTAGGGTTTCATGAGTATTCAAACCGTGGCGATACATTTTTTAAGGCATTCATACAAGGCTCTGTCATAGTCATTCAGTATTTTTCATAGACGAATACTTTGCGTCACTTCGTTGCGGGACCCACAGGAGCCCTGGATCTTCACGAGAAAGTAACAATTTACGAGTGCCGGAGGGAGTGAGTTGGTTGTGTGCATGTGTGTGGGGGCGCCGCTATTCTTAGACGGCTGTGTGGGGCAGCGCCGTAGGGACGTCGAGGTTGTAATGCCCCTGCCGACGGCGGCGGTCGTTGCCTCCGCTCTACCTCACCTCGATGCCATCGTCAAGATATCAACCACCACCACTTGCATTCGGCACCCAGTCTTCCAGGGTGTCCAGGCGTCTGTCAGCACTCGTATGCTGCCATTATTAAAGCCTGTTATTCACCAGATTCTCTCTAGACTTCACAGCGCTTCCAGCTTGTTCATAACTCTTGTCCTTCAGATTTTGAGCTGTTCCCAAAATTTTCTAGATCTGTTCCCTTTGGAAATTGTGGCTTCACAGTTATACGTCTATATGGTGTCGAATGTCATTGAGGTGGCATTGAAGTTCTCACTTACCTAAGTCGGAGCTTCTACTACCTCACCTTGATTTACTGTTTCCTCTGATCAGCTCGACTATGAAATAAACATCTTTCTCCACCTTCAGTTCCCTAATGTGGAGAATCTGAAGTATTTGCCGTTAATGAATTCACATCGAGCGCTCTCATTGCAATGCACTAAACAAAACCATCATAGGAGCTGAAGCTTGTCGTTTCTGTTGGCCTTCAGATTGTTCTGTACATTATGTAGAAATCAATTGTCCCATCGAGCCCAGGCTATCTTTCGAAATCCACCAAACTTTCTCGAAATCTCGAAAGATGCAATAGCCCCCTGTTCTATTACACCATTGCACCCCAATGGATGGGACGAGGCACGTTCGAATTTTTTCTGTAGCCAAGCACTGCGCCATCCACACCCCTCTTGTTACAATCGAGTCTGTTACAATGGGAAGCCCGAGAGGTGCATGGTCATTTTCGTGAGGGAATTTCCCCCATTTCCCTCGTACAAAACTGTTTACATTTCCACATGTTGAATCTCATCAACTTGAATTGATTTCTGCTTTCCATAGTGAACAATTTCGGCCCAACTGAAAAGCTGGGATGACACTCTGTTCAGCCTATTCATGCTTTTTATTGTTGACTCTTTTATTTACAAAATTTTAAACAAGTTTGTTGGTCCGTATTCCTCCCTTAACTATATGAATGTTATGAGATGTCTGAAATACAGACTACGGTACCATTTCTCGATCAAGTTTGTTACGGTAACGCTTTCATTGCCTCAGCCAAATGCAACAACTGGTCGCTGGTAGCTCACTTCCTAGGCGACAGTGGCCGATTACTACCCTATTTTCCCAGGTATAAGCCGCCCCTATGATGCTGAGCTCTGCATATATTCGGCAAACTGTTGTAGATGCAGCGCTAATCAGCATTGAGGCCATCAAGCCTCACACCATTGTTCACGGTTTTCCGAAAGCTCCTCGCAGCCATGAAGCAGGCCCTGAGTAAGTGCGGCTTATACCACGACAAATAGGGCGCTACTGTCTCTGATTCTACTAGTTTTCGTTTTGTACCGCGATCCGATTCTGTTATGTTGCTCGCCTACGCAACGCCCACAATCGTTTATTTACATATTATGAATGATTTTTTTCAGCAGCATGCCGCCCACTGGAGAGACAGGTGAGAAGCAGGTGACGCGTGTGCTGTGAGCGTGGATGGGTGATAGAACGGAATGGAATGGTGGACAGCCACACCCACGGAGGGGTTTTCTGAACGCACACGGTGGTACGCCCAACGGCGAAGAAACGGTTACAGAGTTTATTGGCTGATAAAGCCACGCACAGTACAGTTGGGAGGAGGATTTTTCCATTAGGGAGACAGTCAATGAGGAATTGTTGGATGGTAAATTAGAATTAGGCTGAAAGTTTCGTAATCAACAATTCCTTATTGTCATAGTGATGACTCATTGGTTCCCATATTCATGATTTCCTACTTTTTTTTCTCGGAATTTAGTACTGAATGGCAGTATATGCAAGACTTGCAGGTCGGTTTCTTTCTACCGTTCGCAATTAAGACAGTTCATCCTCGAAAAGATGAATTTCTCAAGAAAATTAGTTACTTAAAGACAATTCCCGCGACCAAGTGTTACGGGTAGTAGGTGCTCAGTCATGAACCAGTAGCCCATATGCCCATACGTAATTCTCTAGTAGAGAAAGAAGCGAGAAAAACCTTGGGAACACTCTGGACAGAGACCCCTTACCTTAGCAGTGGGCGCCTCGGACGAGTTTGTCGGATGGTAAGCCCAACAAGCATTATTTGACGTGTAAGCAATACCGGGCAAGAGCCAGAAAATCACCCTACGAAGCTCCACGCAACGCTATGTACTCACGCAATTCCGTTCGTAAGCCGTTGTCTTGAAGAGTGAAAGTGATCGTGGTTGCAATGGTTGCAAATCACGCGTCTCTAGCTTCTTTATCTCGCGCGACAATGGTGGCATATTTTCCGCGAATGCGGACAACGATGCCAAATGCGCGGAGAAATTTCGCAGACCACTTGATCGCGGAAACTGTCTTTAGTGCTGGTAGATATTTATACTTGATTGTATTATACTACTATACTTGATTTCATACTTGGCACTCCATCTTAACAAACTCATATCGGGTCCCTTTATCAGAAGCATGGTAAGTCCCACTAGGAGACATCATGAAGATGCGGGAAGTGCTTTGTCACTACAAAACGACCCACTATTTCTCTTTGAGACCTTCCGCCTTCACGAGCCCCGGAATTCCATGCGATCTCTCATTAAGGGTTCCTGGGAATTTCAGGGGCGAGTAACCAGACTCGGCCGTGGGTAATGTAAACAGTTTCGTGACTGTTCTAATTAGGGTCTGGCAGAGACGAAGCAAAAAGTTATGAAACTTCAGCTGCTTTCCTATGACTGCGGTAATCATTGATTGTAAGATTAGAAAAGAATGCTTTACGAGTAGGCGTAAACACTTTGCGAAGTGTACAGTTTGCCATATCTTCACATACTAATATGATTCAAAATTATGCTGCAAAAAATATGGTGTAAAAGTAGGGCTATGTTAAGCTGATATCGTCGCAATCAGTGGGGGCGGTTTCAGGAGGGACGGGATGAGGCCAGCCACGGCTGCCCTTTGTGCCAGTAAAGATCGGTTAGTGATCGATTTAGGAAGAAAACAACGAGTGGTGAAAACGCCGCGGATGAGCTCGTTCCATGCCTTCTGACACTGCCACAAGTGAGTGCGACGATATCAAGTGTTTGTCGGTAGCTCGATGTTAGACAGGATGAGGACGATATTACAAGCGGCGTCACGTGAGCGGCATTCGCACCAGGTCCTAATCGGTTCAATAGTGCTGCACTTTGTCAAACCATATGGCTTAGAAAAACTGCTAATTTGCGCACACTACCACAAGACGGGACTAGCATACCCCTCCCCACTTCAGGCTCATATCCTCCTAAATACATTAACGACCCATAATTTTTTTGCTTCCAACCGCGCCCACTTCATCTTCCGACTAGGCCGCTGTAGGACGCAGCCACTGTAGGACAAGTCTTGTGATGTTCAGCCACTTTTCGGGTCGGGACCAACATGAGTGGTTTGTCAGGTGCAGGTCTAAGATTAAAGGGAGGCACGTGAAAGGATTAGTAGCGAACCTGACATTCCAGGCCGAATCGATGTCTCCGGATGCCTTCAGAGCCCTCTATAGGATCCGAAGATACCTTCGGAAGCCACCAGTTTGGGGTTTTAATAAGGAATACTAGGTCACTAAATATTACCAATTTACTTGGCAGGTAAAGTAAACAGTACCAATGCTCGAGTTTGATGAGGCGGTATCTCAAAAGCTTTTGTAATGCTGACTGTTCAGCACAGAGAACAGTGTCGCCAGCAAAATCGATTTGAGCTTACACTGTGTATTACTACAGTTGTCCCACTTACCTCGATGTATCTGGGAAAGGAGCCGGAGCTAGAAATCGTGGTACTACCTACGGAGAATCACCCTGCGAACTCTGAAACTTCGAGACTGAAATTTCGAACCGTCTGCCATCGTGTTCATCCTTGATCTCCACTACACGGCTCCTTTGTCTCTGTGGAGTACCTGCCAACCCCTGAGTTCCGGTTCCCCATTATCAGACTACTCTCTGTTCCCTCATCCTTTGCTGCTACTCACCTGGCAATGTTAGCAATTCGCGCGCACCGCCTCTACTTCTAGAACAAACACTGAACGAAATCGTTTGCGAGCTGTCACTGTGCTTTTCGACAGTCACCGCTGCCCCCCTTCGCCCTTAGCTTTGCAGCTCTGCTGACCCTCGGCTGACATCTTCTAGAGCGACGAAGAGCTTTGCACATTCGCATGCTTCGATAGACCGCTTTACGACCTCAGTTTACTACCCTGACTGCCACTTTTCGAGCCTTCCTGACTAGCTCGTTACTTCTGTTTCCCAGTTCGTAATAATTCGTCTTTGTTCTACCATTAGCTATCAACCATGTTCAACTACTATTCAAAGACGTCCTACGATGAATACACTATTCAGTCATCGCCCAGCCCTCGAAGCCTTGGATTCCCGTCGTATTATTACCCTACCGCATACGAGAAACAACCAAATCATGCACTCAGTCCACGTCAGGCTGAAGCTGTAGAGCGTCAGGCGCCAACAAGCGCTTTCACTCAGAGAGACCCCGAAACGCCAGCGCTCAATGACACTCGAAACGGCCCCACGCATGTGCCAACGAAGAAAAACATCGTGCCGCAGCATTATCTGACATTTATTGCTGCTCCGGTGGGGCCCAAGTCTTACGGTAACTACCCTGAATTTACGGGGATCAGTCCAAAACCTGCTCGAGCACTGAGTGAAGAAGCTCGCTCTCAGCAAAATCGAACTCCTAGTATTGTATTGGATCATTATGTGGACGAGAATAGCTACGGTGGGTTTGCTGGTAATATTACCTAATCATTTTTTCTGCAAAATCTTCTGAGATGAAAAAAAAGAAAAGTTCGAATGTTCTGATTGGAGCAGTTCGGCTCAGAAGGGAGGAGGGATTTTGTAAACTCGCGTAAAATTCCGTAGAGCTACGAGCTTCATTTTCGAATCAGCTTTTGCATAAATAAATTGGAGCTCCTCGGTCGCCCCTTTGAAGCTTCTATCCCCCAGGCTTGGCCAAAAGCTCCATCTCCTTCTTTTTTTATCATTATGACGTGGAAACGAAGCTCCCTGCCAGATCATAGCTTTACCAGAGCTTATCGGTTTGTTGAAAACCGCGGCACGTTGGCAGGATTCGATCAGATGCACTGACCAGTGTTGTCATAGGGGGGAGGGGCACTCAACCAGACTGCCCCTGGATTTCTATTTTGATTGAGGACGAAAACGGCTTATTTTATATGCGTTAATTCTTGCTTTATCATCGCCCAGCTGTAGAAATTTGTTTTCCCCAGTGTAGTTCCGAAGAAAAACCCAAGAACCACAATTCCTAATAATCCGTTGCACAACTTTCGCTAAAGTAAATTTGTACAGCGTTGAGTGGTAACCTTATGACAACACTGATCAGTGAGTGGGAAAAAATGCTACAGAGCGCCGTCCCAGACGCACCGGAAACCAATCCCAGAAGTACAAGCTGAGCTTACTCATCGAGTCAAGAATTGCGAATTCCGGTCTCGGGAGAAGCGCGATGGCCCTAGTTCGCTTGATTTTGACCTATCTGATTCAGTGTGCCAGACTGCAGCTTGCTCCCCTTCTGCCCTGATGATGGAAATGAATCCACATTGAGGGGGAGGGGAGGTGGTCTTATTGTTAGTTGGCCTGATGCGTTTGTTGGTAATCTCGAGGGGGGCGTATGTGCTGCACGGGCACGCTGCAGTGCCACGCTTACCACTCTCTTCCGGGTCAAATCCTGGAACGGATCGCCGGCGCCAGCCACCAAGCCTTCCTTCGACGACGAGACGATAAATTGGGTAGCAGATTCGTCACGGGATTGTGCAGGACATTGATTCTGTTAAGTCGACTGACGCCCCCCCCCTCAGGTCAAGTCATTTTTAGGCCGTATCGCAGTCAATAAGCCATTACGATTCTGAATGAACGAAGAATGCGTGCCGCATCCGAAGACGGATTGTTCAGCGGCTAAGACTTTATCCGTTTACAAATCCCGTTATATCGCCCATACCTCCTAAGCAGGTGACATAGCAGTCTCGCCATATCCGACAGTTGATCGGGTGCCTGTTCCGGGAAAGGGAGAGGGATAGTCCGTGCTCTCCGTCCAGGAGCCAGCATATGATCATAATATTATTCAGATGCTAGAATACATAAAGACGTTATTTCGTTGTCCACTAAAACAGCGCCGTTTCTTCACCGGGAAGCGTTCCGTAGACAAAACATCAAATAAGGGACGCCCAAGGGAAGATGAGAGAATCATGACGACAGGGGTGAGAGAGGCAGATAGACAGAGACGTGAGCTGGAGATGAGAGTGCAAGTGAGACAATGAGACAATGGAGTGTGAATCGAGACGATGATTCCAGATGAGCAGCCGAACGCGACGATGGAGACGAAAGTCACCGGCCAAGGCCAACCGAAGCGCGTCGGTCGCTGGACCCTGGCACAATTGAGGCAAACTGATGGTAAGATTGTCGTAAATTCCTAAGCAATAGCTGGGTTCACTGAGCCCTTTTCTGATGCGATCTCTTGAAGGAATATCGAGGAATTTCAGACTTGCTCTCAAATTCCTCGATTTTACAGAAGAGAGAATCCTGAATTCTGCAGGGACCTAAAAGGATATGGATCATTGCTAATCGAATATTTTTTAGGTATTATTCCGAGCCAGGCCGGATGGAATAAGGGAGACTCCCAGAAGCTCATGACAAACTTCGGTACACCAAGAAACACATCTACCAGAGTGAAAGCCGAAAATCTCCAGGTGGGCATTTTTCCTCATTCAGCTGTGCCAACAAACCAGCGATCATTCAGCCATGTGGCTCGTTTCAGCCGACTACAGCTCCCTCTCTAGTACTGCGTTCCCATTTCGCGTTGAAGTTCTTGCTCATCTGTTTGTCGAAATAGACCCAGTCGATCCTAAGAGCCATATTTTGTTGAGATTACTCTTTCTCGATCTCAGGTAGCCTACTAAGTAAGCAGTTAGGTCACGTAAAAGATAATTCCGTCTTCTGCGTATAGGCTAGGAAAGTTTTTTATACACCCTTGGGTTTTTTCCCGAACAGGAAGGAAGATCTGATGACGTTTCATTCAACTGTCTTGACTCCGGAAAAATCTGATCGCCGTGATTCATTGTGCCCGTCATTAAAAATGATTTTCATATAAGAATGAATATGTGTATCGAAATGACTCCACAAACATCACTAGAAGTAAATGGGAGATGACTGCAGAAGTTTTCGTTCGTTCCGCTGCGTCATCACTAAGCTTTTAGACAAATGCGCTCAGCGGAAGTGTTCAAGCATTATTGATTCTTGTGTTAAGAGCACTCCAAGTTCTGCACGCCTGCTTGAACCTGAAGCTAGTTTGTGAACGGCACTTGAGAGCTCATTATGTTGGGAGATATTGGGACTAGTAGTACAGATTCACTGGGCATGACAGATTGCAAGTATGGTGGATTTTTTGATCGCCGACTAAAAAGGGAAACGTCGGGGAAGACAAGGCTCCTCACGGGCTCAAAAAATCCAATTCACACAATTCACAGTTATAATTCCTTGAATAGTAACACGTTGCCAGGAGCCTGTTGAACTGTAGACCAAATCGGAATACTTTTTTCGTGTCCTTTCACATGAGACCGGGCAATGGCCCGCAGAAAAAAGGCGCAATAATCGTGATGAGAACGATTTAACGTGTAGCAGCTTCTCCTAGCGCCTTACAGAGACAAATCACAAGACTTTTGGCGGCTGTTACTATCTACCATGTGAGACGAATACTCTAATCATTCCAGGAAATTCCCGAGGAGATCGCTAACCGTACCCATGGTGAAGTTCGTCTTCAGTCCGGTACCAACAAATTCAGTTCACAGCGTGGTATGACTGGCTTCGGTACTGGCCGTGATGTGTGCCGAGAGGGAAAGCACGTCAACACCAACCCTGCAGATCTCCAGGTGAGCTTTCACATACTTATTTGAAATTGGTCAGTGTTTTGAGGCTATGTATGCTCCATATCTTGGAAATGGGTGAGGCGTAATCGAGTACTTTGTTTGGACACGGTTTAGGGTGCATTACTTGTGGGATTCTCCCGATAAGGACAACTGTCATCCTGCCCTATGCTGGACAAGGATATGATTACAGTTGGCCCATAACGAACATACCACCGGAAGCGCGGCTGCTGTCACGACCAGATGAAGTGCGAAGCAACGCCCTCCCTAACTACGAGATGTGGGGTGTACCTACAATAGAGGAGCATAAGCACACGGGCATGCAGCGATTTCCAGCAGTGTGTACTGAAATGCCACTATTGGAGGCAAAGGGTTCCGCTATTCGAGAGTTATTCCAGAAGACTCCTCCCTCTGGAAAAGCCAGGGAGGATCACTCTCAGGGTCCACTTTGGGAGGTACAAATGAACTGGGGAGGTGGGTCTGCTTGAGAAGGGCAACATTTCGAATAAGAAACCCGCAAGCTGAACTTCTCGTAGCTTTTCACCACCACAGGTTTCCTTAGGGATTCTGTGTGTGTCTTTCATTCTTTTGCACAAAGAAAAGCACACGTAGGCGTATGATCGTTGTGAGCGCTTAAGTATGTTTGTATACAAGATCAGTGATGTCGTGCGAGCGGATGAAACAGTGCGAGAGAATCCACGTTGTTTTCTGGTTTCCGTTCGCCATGGGAATTTCTTAAGCAGGAGCTAGCTTTACGTACTTTCCATAGCCTCATGCGCAACGTAAGTTCTCAGAAGAGGGCCCGTAGCGTTAGAAACTTCAGAAAATATATGGGACTGCTAGTCTACGCTCAGGAATAGCTTTTTTTGCTTGCTACTTAGACTTCATTCACCCTTCACGTCAGAGCCTGGCAATCTACACCCGGGCATGCCATATGCCCAGCAACTAATGTACATGAGCTAGCCTTTAGCATCGATTCTGTCCAGATACTGGGAGATAGGTCAACAAGGGATTCTCCTGGAAAGATTGCCTTGCTGTGGGCAGGTTGAAATTGGAAATTTTCTGAAAATTCTTACCTGATAACGTAAGCGTTCAATTCGAGCGAAAATCCCAGCGGAAGACCGATCAGATTGAGACTAACGAAGTTCCATTCCAAGCTACAGTATGTTTCACAGTTGGATCCGAGGGGGGTCGTATTTTGTCTGTGACGGGAGGGGATTAGCATCAGCCTTTTTGAGATTATTGGTATAGTTGACTTTTTATGAGCTTTAGGTATTTCAAATGCCTAATGTATACCCACCCCTCTTCCGTCCGCAGTTCAGTTTCGGCCAGTTTATGGAGGCATTTGGAGGAATTTTTTAGCTAGAAAAAAAAAACTATTTAAAATGGTAGCACAATGAAATATTCAGGAAAGCGAGGGTAGAAAGGAGAAGGGGAGGTACCAGAGGGGAACTTCTGTGGAGGCCGTGACTCCAAAAATTTTCTATAAGGCAGGACAAGCCCCGATTTTAATGGTCATCAATTTAAGGACCTTCCCGAGGAGAAGATTCGTCTCTCAGACGGCATTGTGCGTCTCCAAGCCGGTACCAACAAGTATGATTCTCAGAAGGTTGGTTAATCATTTCAGTGATATAGCTGAAAAGCTTCTTAAGCTGAAGAATTTCTATGGTTTAGGGTATGACCGGCTTTGGTACGACCCGTCGTGAGACCACAAAGATGCTAGATACCAAGCATCCGGAATACGATCACGAGCGGCCAGATCAGTCAGAGATTCCTCTACAGTCAGGAACAAACAAATTCGCTTCACAGAAGGTATTTGGCCTGCACTTGATTGTGGCAGCATACACATGCTATTCTTGGCACGAGTCTGAATGTACACTTATTTCAGGGAATGACTGGTTTCGGTACGTCTCGTCGTGAAACCACGAAAATGATCGACAGCAGCCATCCCGAATACGATCACGAGGCTTCTATCGATCAGGTATTTAGATGGGCTCAAAATACTTGATTTATCGAGTAACAGATGAGATTTTCAGACAACAATCCCCAGCCAAATGGGTTCAAACAAATACGCCTCTCAAAAGGGAATGACCGGTTTCGGACAACCACGTTGGGAGGTACCGTATTCTTTACACTTGACAGTATCGGACTCAAAGGTATTATGAGGGCAAATTTAGGTGCTCGACCCCTCGATTTCGTGGCAGAACCGCAAGTCTCAGGGCATGGTCCGCCTTCAATCCGGTACCAACAGATTCGCTTCGCAGCAGGTGAGTTCTGTTCAGTTCAGATATGAAGGCTTACTACTCCCTTGTTCGACTGGATAAATGCTCCTAATGCGAACATTTTCTACAATTGTCGTCTTCCTAGCCTTGCCACTAATACTCTCCATTTCTCTCCTAGAATGAAATCTTACAAGAGAATAACCATGAATGATTGAACGGTGAAATATTTTCAGGGTATGACTGGTTTTGGTACGATCAGGAACACGACCTACGAGGGCAGAGGGCGTGAGCGTGCCTTACGAAGGCCATGAAAAATCTCGAGACCACATCCGCAAGCCTAAGTCCAGGTTGGAATAAGGAGACTTCAGGAAGCGTGGTTAATAGGAATAGTCGAAGGCTACAAGCTGTCAGCAGAAGGCAAATTCATGGATTTTCATGTAATATCAATGGTGCGATGCAAATCTTTGAGTAGGATTATTCTCCCGACGTGTGCTTGGTTTCAGAAGATGACGTCGTTCCGTAAGCTCCACGTGACGTTAAGGGCTCACATTTGCAACAGATATCTGGGAGCTTTCTTATATTTCCGTAAGAGCTGAGGTCAGTTACCGATAAAATCTGTGGTCATATGGAAAGGGTCTCTAATGAGGCGAGATGTGCATTTACATTTTGAAAAACAGTTCGCCGCGGTCCAAGCTGGTTTTTCCGCGAAATGCCTTTCTGTGCATTTGATATGCTGTCCGCTTTATAATTGCCAGCAGATATGGCCTCTTTCGTCACTCAAAACGGTGATATAAACAAACTATAGGTGCGTGATTATTGTGACCATTGCAACCACGACTACTTTCACTCTGCAAGGCAACGGTTTACATGCGGAATTGCGTGTGTACGTAGCGTTTCCTGGAGCGTACCGCTACGTCTGATTACTGTTGCTTGCTTTGCCTGCACGTACCAAATCTATTCCCGATTAGGCTTGCTGACGTCCAGTTCAAACTCGAGTCTCTGTTCATAGTGTTCCGAGTTTTTCGCTTTTTGCTTCTTTTTGCTACTACCTTGGGAGTCTTTTTATGGGCTACTGGTTGTGGCTACCTGCTAGCGTTAACAATGTAAGTCAAGGATCGGCAGGAACTGTCCTAAATGCCCAGCTTCAGTGAAAGAGCTTCAAAACTCTTAACTTGCCTTCACATGTCCGCGCCTCTCTCCAGACCACCTTTAGGACACCGCTAGAACGGTACTCCTCAATCCATGTTATTATTCAGGTGTCCTCGATCCAGTCGTAAATTTTACGCAACTGGTGTGCTCTTCTTTCATGTGTTTGCAGTTTTTTTTTTCTCTTCTTGTATCGTTCTTCTTCTGCCTATATTCCACGACTACCCATCGTCGCGAAATCCGTAAGAATCCCGCAACCGGCCTGCGCGTGTCCGGCCCTCCGTGACGGACGATCGGTGACCTTTGACCAAATACCTGTTCATATGTGCATAGCCCTAGTGTCTTGTTTGACTCCATTTTCGCTCATTCTTTCTGTTTACCACAAAATTACATATACGTCCTTTGACAACCTATGAATACCACCTCGTAAGATAAACAATAAGGCGGTGCCTGGTGCATGTAATTGATTTACAGTAACACAAAGTACACAGGAAATTGCTCTCATTTGAGTATTGGCATGATGCGGTGACAAATTTGTAACGTCAAAATTAAAAATTAAGATAACAAAATTAAAAAAAATAGAGACAATGCTTTGAGGCGTGCTGCGGCTCGCGCTCGCGTATTGGGATTGTGGAGCGCTACATAGTCCATTGCTTTCCCTTTTATTTTTCGAAAGGGCATAACATCACTGAGAAACGATCTTTCAGAGTGCGGTCGGAATTATTCATGGTATTAGGGCAGGGCCTATCGAAATACGCCACAGCTTTCACCAAGCTTGCGTAGCGGCTTCAGAATCACCAAACAACGAGGAGATTTTCGGTCGGACACGATTTTTTTTTACTTTCAATGGCAGACAGACATAATGTAGGATGATCTACTCGGTTTTGAAGAGTAGAAGGTTTTCTTCTCCTAAATGGCATAACATCTTTGCTGCTGCTTAACTATAGCGGAAGTTCGCCAGCCGCACATTTTGCTCCAGAAGTCAGCTTCTGCTGCAATATGAGAATCTCCCCTATCAAGCCCACATCTCCATCTGGAAAGCTTGGTAGGCTTCCGGTATTCCTACTCCTCATGTGATAACTAGGAATGTAGCACAGAGATGTCAACACCTCCATGAGATGCACCATACACTCGACATGCTTTCCAAGCGACAATGATGTCCTTAGGAAGATGGGCTTATGAAACAGCTTGTACAGCCACCTGATGCGTCTCATGCGTTCCCTGTGGTGCGAAGCATGAAGCTACACTGTTCATTCACCAGCATCTTAATACGTTATGGATTCCCAGGCACCCGAATCGTTCATAGAGCGCTCCCTCAACGAGGCAGAGCATTGCAGCCGGTGTTGGAGCTCTTGGCTATCCTGCAAATTTGCGAGGGCAAGACTTGGGAGAAGGAGCAGTCAAGCCTTCTGACGGAACCATTATTTATCAAATTCTTTTTCTGATTAGTTCAATCAGCACCACCAAGCCACCACCTCTGCTTTAATCATCCATCCTGCGAGCTATACCGCAGCAGTGTTCAGTCTGCAGATACGACCCCCCCCGTCCTCAGTATTGCGGGGGGGGAGGGGCAAAATACAAACCCGACATGTTTCGCGACTTATACTTGACAGTGGTCGGAAATGACATCCTCTCACCTTCTGCCCTATGTACGGATGACTCCATAATTTGGGGTTGAAGGTGGCTATAATAAGGGGCTGGCTTCAAAGGCAAAGCCCGCAACCACAGATTGCGGGTAACGGAGCTCACATAGGAACGAAAAAAGTGCTAGGTGACTAATTATGCATGCAATGAAGAAAACGCATGTTTGTACGAATTTCCACTCGTCGTTATCATAAAGATATCAGCTCTTTTATCGTATCACCTCACTCTCACCATTCGGAATGGAGAGAGATAGCATAGTGGCTACTAGCTAGTAGCTAGCAGCCGGTGGGGGTCGGCATGGGCCTAAGGGTGCCCATGGGCCTAATTGGTTAGCTTCCAGCGGAAGTTCTTGCCGATTTTCACTTTTCTAAAGGTAGCGCAGCCTCCGCAATCTCCTTCCGGATCGTCTGACACATTTGAGAGGTCATAGCCTTATTTTATCGCGGAAAATGCTTTTAAACTATAATACATTCATCCACTGCTTGTTTTTCATGAACGCTAATATCACAAACCTTCATCGGTACTGTAAAGAGCCATTTGAGAGCGACTGCACTGTTCCAAAATGAAGCAGCTTCTGGACCGGCTCAAATGTGACTCTCATGGAAAGAACCAATTTGCAGACGGTTTTCTAGAAACACAGTGCTTTCCTGGATGGGAAGGACTAGAACATGAGCAGACTTAATTGTACGTTTAGGGTTATCAGGTGAATGTGTTCAGTGTCCCAAGAGCAATAGGACCAGTCCCTGAATGAAGACGCCATTCCTCGTACACAGTCAACTAGCCAGTGAACCAGCACAGGATGCGGAGCGCTTCTTCAAAAAGGTTTTTTGCGGCAGGGGCAAGCCATGGACCGGAAACTAACCGTAAGGGAGCTTCATTTCTCTATGCGACTCTGAGAATGCCACATACTAGTGAAAAGAAATCTTCGTAAACAGCGTCTATCAACCCTTGAGTGTACTGCAGAAAGGATAAAGGATAGTCTTCGTCTTTGTTCAATCACTTTATAGGGTACAGCACGCATTCTGCTGGAACCGAGGCGGCTCATTAAATGCGATGTGACAATGACAATGTGACAATAAATGAACAATGATATGCGGGGCCAGCCGATGTTACAAGTCAGTGTTTTATCCTCCCAGACGAATCTGGTACCAATTTACCGTCCCGAGGGTAGAAGGCTTGGTTGGCCTGGGAGGGGTCGACACAGGATTTGAACCGAGGACGAGTGGTGAGGGTGCCACTTGCCACTATACAACCGTTCAGTGCATTCCATATCACTTGATAAATTGCCACTCGGTGAGAGAAAGCATATTTTGTCACAGCATGCAGAAAAGCGTTTTGAAATGTGCTTCACATCCTTTCCCGGTAAGGGAGGCTACTCTAGTGCCATCAAGGGACAGGAAGTGAAACAAGATTTTAATCAAGAGAGACAATGAAAAAAAGTTTCAAATACATTCATAGGTGCAAAGGCGCCGATGTAGATCCGCGAACATAAACAACAGACTGGGAAACTCGTCCGAGTACCAGCGGGCTGACACATTGTCAAGGGTAATGGGATTCTTCATTGTTACGCTTCTCTTTTCTCTTTTTTCTGCTGTTGTCTTCACACGTGTACCACTTAGTCCCTCTGGGCAATATTTAAGTCCCGTATCATCGTACGTACGTAACATCGTTCACCGCGACTTTGATCAAATGACACACTGAGTAGAACAACAAACTCTTGGGAATACGAAATCATGTTGATATGGGTCTAAAAATAGAAACATATAAATTGAAGGAGAAACTAGAAGCACCTGGAATGGTGGAAATCTGCAGCTGGCAAAGAAAATGGCGGCAAGGTGTCAGCAACCCTGGGAAAGAATTGCTGAACTGAAGAGTATGTTTAATCCCAAGTATAGGTTCGCCACATCGTATGCGAGTTGTTTCTGCTGTTATTGTCTGTCTTAATGTTGAGAAACCCATGTCACTGTGTCCATGAGCAAACACTTCTAGGCTCACTGCGCACCGAGGAATCATATGTCGAGGGGTCGTATATGAGCGCTAGATAGGAGCTCTCGAAGACGGTCCCCACGGTCAATTAATTCGTGATGTTCCTATCTCGTGCAAGTAGTCCAGCTCCGAGCTAAGAGACTGTTTCACTTTCGCGACTCTACTGCGAATGAGGAAGGTGCTACAGCAGCCGAAAGTTCCAGTTCAAATTTAACACCCGCTCAGTTGGACCGCCCACCCGACGAACGTCCTCTCCACACCTAACGCAGGGCGCTCAGTTGTTGTTCGCTGGGGCGACGGGCATAGAATTGCATTTTGCCATTTTGCCGACTGCACTCGCGCTCATGTTTAATTCTTCTCTCCTTAATCACAGTTTCTTCATCAGGAGTACATACGTTCGCAGCAATCCCTCTCGCAAGGTAAGACACCAGTGATACATTTTGTTGGTGCGGAAGCTCGACGTGCACTGCTACCCTAAATTCGTATGCAGAGTTCTCAGAGGTTCCTTTCTGTTACTAGATTAATTACCAAACAA